ATGACGCATTGCAGCTGACCTGAAGCTGCCCCCTAAACTCAATCAACATAGAAGAAAACAAGTCCCTGAATAAGCCTGGGATAGGTTGCATTCAAACCCAAGCAAAGACTGCATTCATCCCTGTTCTAGCTGAGATGCAGATACATCACTGGCCAGAGAGCTGGGTGGAAAGAGATCCCATCCAATCAGCTATCTGAGCCTGGGAAATCCAAAACCCTTATTAAAAGGGAACCCAGATTAAACTCATTGCTGTTTGCTAAGGACTAAATGTTGTGTTTTGGAGGCCTGTGGGCCTGCTAGACTTCCTGGGGCTATGCCCTGGAAGAATGTCCCCTAGACCTTTAACCTCTCCTGTGGACCTGGGACATACTCTGTGGCGGCTACCTGCCACGACCTCAGGCAGATAGGTAGAGCCAGCTGGCACTGCCTGTGTGAGGCCAGGTGGCCACCACACGAGAGGACACCCCAGGGGAATGGCACCTGCCAACCTGGTGGTGCCAAGTGCTGCGGCGTGGGTTGTGCAGCTTCGGTAGTTCCACATGATGAGAGGAAGTGAAGGGATGAGAGAAGGACACTTGTCTGCTAGCCCAAAGAGTCTTTATTTTCCCCAGGTGGGGCAAGAACAAAGATGCTCTCTGGGTGAGTGCAGGAACAAATTCCAAAGAAATCAAGGATTACAGCAACTCAAATAGGGGGTGGGCGGACAAGGGTGCAAACCTGTCTTGCCCAATGGGGATAAACCAGAGAGGGATGACACCAATTACAACAACCTATGATAACATAACAGGAATAGGCACAAGGTCAGGGGACAAATAGAAAAGCTAAACTGGGGTGATTGATACAGAACTTTCTTGAAGAAACGGGGTAGTTACAGGATTGACAACCAAAAGGGTATGAACAAAAATACATTTAATAAGCATTGATTGAACCAAATAAGGATAAAACAGGGAGAGGTGAGAAGATTGACAGATAACTGGGGAGCCAAGTGGTGGGAACTTTTGGGATAAACAACTTCGATCAAACCAACTGTGAGGGGAAAAATGGGGGAACATAAAGGATAACTAACATTAATAAAACCAACTGGCTAAATCAAACCACACCGCAACAATGCTGTTAATCAACCCCAGTGCCACTATCCTTGTTGGCCCCTTGGCTGTTCAACCACCTGTTAACCATATATGGTCAAGGTTCGAGCAGTGTCTTTGTTCCTTTTACCCTTGTTGGTACCCTGTCAGTTTACCCTGGTGTTTCCCTACTGGTCACTGTAATCCTTTTCCTGTTCACACCTTCAGGTGACTGGTTGTTGCTTTTGGCTCCTCCCATTTTTACTAGGACGTAGTCCTGGACCCTCTACTGTGTCTGTCTTTGTCCCTGGATGCTTTCAGTGTGTTGGTGAAATAAACTATCACTGGAAACCTATACAAAGACTGTTCCTGCCTCTGCTGTCTTAGACAACCAGCTGCTGCATGTGAGTGTGGTATTTGCTGTGTGCTTGGTGGAGCGCTCTACTCATGGGAGTGCTTCAGGACGGTTGCAGAAATCTACCATCTGCCGGCTCTGAAACATCGTGTCATGTGTCTGTCACCAGCCCATGACTCCCCAAAACTCTTGGAAATTTTCTAAGCTCATGTCCATTTTTCTAAGAAATCGCTGGTGTAATTTTATAAAGAGTAGAAAAAAAATTTAGTATATAGTCTGTCTTTGCTTATTCTATCAATAATTTTTTGTAAATATTAATGTTTGTATTTATCATTTTTCCCTCTTGTTTTTTTTTCACTAATATGCAGCTTTATGTGAAACCTCAACTGTTTTACAGATTAGGATAGAAACAAAGAATAGAGTATATGAAGAAAGTTCTTGGTTTTCGAGGGGACTTACTGCATTAATAGAAACTAATGCATAAGTGGTGCTTATTATGTATTAATTTTCTAGTGTTCATAACTAAGTTCATAGGGATTTAAACTCATTTAACTTAAATGCTCTTATTGGTAGCAATTAAAGGACTATTATGAGTTTCATGAACAGTAACATGTACATGCATATACAGGTTTTTTTCTGAGGCATTTTAGATCAATCCCATACTGCTGTGTTTTTATCAACTTTATCTCTAAGACGTCCTAAGGTTTTGGGTGTAAAAATGAGGTGCCATAGTTCATTTAGCCCACATATTCCAAGTATGTAAAAACTCAATATCTTTTATAACTGGTAGTTCTGCTATGACAAATGTTTATCCATATTATACTGTCTAAGCTATATGGTAATTTACACATCAGAAATGATGACATATGGGAAACAGTCAACTGTAATACAGATATTTAATTTTTTGTTCTTAAAATTCTTTATATTAATCACATGGAGTGTTTCTAACTATGCAGGTAATAGACATATATTATAACCCAAGTCTATTTCTTTTTATTGGAAAAGGACAGGCCATGATGTTATTCCATGGGGCCGGATGCATTCAAAATTTGCAATACATTTGCCTGAGAAGGTCTGGTTCTCAGAGGCAATGCAATAGAAAGGTCAGAATTCTGATGCTTATACTGCAAGTAAAAGTCCAATAAATCCTGCAAAATAACCATTAACATGCACATCATTCTTTCAGAAGGAATTTTATCATCATTATGTCATTCTCATTGATATTCTGCAGAAAGGGCTGAACTGGCTCTTCTGAACTGAATATTCTGTGTGTTAGTTTTGTGTTAGATAATTCCTATTCAGTACAGCACTTAAGAAAAAAGCAATATCAACACCGAGATCTGTTTAAAAACTATTACTAACAACATAGTAAAAATACATCCCATTTCTTTTAGTTTCAAGGATTTGTCGTAGTATGTTCTTAGGGAATTTTCAGCCTCAGCTATAAAACAGCCCAACTTCTCATCTGCCATCTTCTCCACATTCCACATGCCAATTAGGTAAGGCATATAACTTTCAAAGAATATCTGAAAATGAACAGGATGCTTCTAAATATTTATAGCTTGTTCCAGAACTTATTTTAGATAACTTTGCTATTCCTCTTGTGGTAGCTACAGATGTGATAAACAGCCAGGCAAGAGGCCATGGACTACTAACCCTTTGCATAATAAAGGACATGGGGACTTGTGCCCATCCAGGTGACCAGTCAGAGACAGGGCAGAACTGAAGAACCCAAGACTTCCATGCTGTTAGACTAAGAAAGTATAAAACCCCATGAATTTCTCTGTTCAGAGTCCCTCCTCAGAGGTACCAGCTCAAGCTGTTACTTTTTTATATAGTAATTGCATCACGACTAAATTATTTTAAGGATTGAGACTCTGCTATAGGAAATTTGAGGTTGAGCCAGTAAGGAAACCTAGTATGACTGTATGAGTTTGATGTGTATAGATGCCAAAGGGCCTCTCTCCCAGCTCAGTTGATCCAAATGTGACTGCCAGAATAGTATGATATTCAGGAATAATCTATGGGATGTTCTAAGTGAATTCAAATCTTGGATATTCACAGTTTGTGTCATAGGCCCACAACTATAATTGATGTATAGTTACAGATTACAGCATCTCATTGCATTAAGTTTTGGTCCATCAAACATTTACAGTAGAGTATTTCTGGTAACCCACCTGTTTAAACTTTTGATCTACTCATGCCAGGAAGGTTTAGCATCATATTTGTTGTCCAGCCTGTCTACCATCAACACTAAGTGCCTTGATATCTTCCAAATTTTGTACCCTCAAAAGAATTTTGTACCCTCAAAATGAAACTACCTCCACCTACCCCTCTACTTGTAAACCTGATGCGGACTTCTGTTCTTCAGGGCTTGTGTGAGTGGTTGCAGTTGCTGTTTTCTCCCTTCTGGCCTGCATATATATTTCCATCCTATAGTGACTACAGTTGCCATTGGGAGTGATGTATGCCTATGTCTCATTTTAACATAGGGCTTAAAACACATCTGAAGCCAAAAATGATAGCACTGTCAGACACCCCATTTTAAACACAGGAAAATTTCTGTGGTGTCTTATAAAATGAATCTATTGGTGTTTTTTTCAGAAGGTGCTTTCTAGAACAGCAGACATTTTCCACATTTCTCTAAATGTATCATTAAATTATTTTAAATGTATCACTGCTGCTTGAGTGTAGTTTAAATCCTAAGAGAGTCTCCTAACTTCTCACTGAAAATCCTGCATGCCCTCAGCATCCTCTGAAATGTGAAGGATTGACTCTTGCATTTCCTGGGATTCTCACTGGTGCCAGGGTTCAGCATGTAGGCTTCCAGAGCAACAGTAATATCTGTCATTTTGAATGAATACAAATCTCTAACAATCCATGTTTGTACAGTCCCAGTGGAAGCATGTTGTGTCAGCTGTGCTTGCGGTACTTTAAAGGCTTTATTAAGTCAGCTGGCAACACACCCTGTCTCCAGGCACTGGCTTTTATGGCAAAGGACCTAAGAGACTTTTTTCAAAGGACCTAAGAGACTTTTTTGTCCCTTTCCTTTTTTTTTTTTTTTTTGCTTTTCCCCCCATCCTCCTTTCCCATGTTAACTAGCTGTCAGAAACACAGGTAGTGATTTTATAGAAATCTTATGGGTGTGTTGCTATGTTCATAATACACACAATATAGTTTACAGATGAGCACTTTTACCCACCCACCCAACCTTACACATACATGTGCACGCACTGTCAAGTACCTTTATGCAGTCTGATATTAACTTATTATCACTGATCGATAGAGAAGCTGTACAAAATTTATAAATAATTATAACCAGCTTTCTTAGCCCCCGTAGCCATTCGAAAGGAGGCTATGATAAAGTGTGTGAAGGTTCTGACCACATATTACAGTAAAATTCCATGCATACTCTATCCAGTGGCCTTTAATGTAAGAATTGAACTTTCTGTTTGCTTTAATGTAGACAAAATTGTTTAATTGGTAAATGTTAAAATATTAGTTTGCTTAAGTCATGTTTTGAGAATCAGTTGTTCAAAGACTGAACTTTGCAGTGACATTCAGAATCTTTTCTCTTGCAGCCGTTTCGTAGAGTGACGTTTTCTGTTGTGAGTCAGCCTCAGGACCCGCATCAAGGGTCATTGCAGAGTTGCTATGACAGCGGTCTGGAGGAGTCAGAAACACCAAGCAGTAAGAGTTCATCAGGGCCAAGACTGGGTGCCCTTCCACTCCCAGAGGACAACTACGAAAGGACTACGCCGGATGGCAGTGTTGGTGAGGCAGAGCATATGGAAAATGGTAGGGGCAAACACAACATTCACACACATAATCTCACTAGCAAGTGATACTAAGTAGACTTTTGAAAGGTCAGTCCAAAACCATAAATAAATATGTTAAATAATTAATATTGTAATTATTTGATTTTAAAGTTTGTTAAAATGCAGGTATACAAAATAATGGAACATAACAACACTAATTAAAACAGCTTTTATTTTTACATTACTTAAAATCTATGCTGCAGAAGCGGTTAAAACACTGAAAAAAATATCAGTAAGAGGTCTGGGGAAATGGTAATTGAATAAAATTATATACTTTTCATGAATAAAATTATATACTTTTCATTTTAGATAAAATACCATAAAGGACATCTATAGCCTCACTTCCTTCCATTTTTGACTCAAAACCTACTGAGGAAATTTCCCAGAATGCAATATATACAGCATCAGGAAAAGAAAATAGTATTTTAAAACCCCACTGTAGAAAATTCTCTTTTCCCCAAAAACATTGTAGAGACTATTTTCAAAATAAAACACAGTGTCAAGTCCATTCTTCATTATTCAGACTAGAAGAATATTACTTTCCTTTTCTTCACATTTTATATTGGACAGTACTTTTACAACATTTCATTTAAATTCAGGGTCCATTTATGTAGAAGGGGAAAATGTTAAATAGTTATTTATTTCATAGTACCTCTCCTATTATTAAAAAGAAAAAAATGTTAATATAAGTCTCAGGTTAGGTTGTTTTTCTTTTTATTTAAAACTATTCAGGATTAAAAAACAAAAAAAGACATATTGATTTTAAAATGCATTTTATAAAATGCAAATATTTCACTGTTCTCCACGTTTTGGCCTTTATCTAAAGTTTTATGAAGTCAGAGACTGACTTCATTTTATTTTCATTTTCCCATAAGCAACAAAAAAAATCAATACATGTCAAAATGTACAGATTTTTGATAACTAAAGAAATAATGGGTTTTCTAATTTAATTGTAATAGGTGGGTACAAGAAGGGTGGTGTATTTTTTTATAGAATGAATTAATAAGTTTGGCTAAATGCATGTTAGTTTTTCAGAGATTGCAATACTGAATAATTGTTCTTGGGGTTTTGTCTTGTCTGAGATAGACATGTCAACCCATTAAAACAATGTTATTTTTCATGATAAGATGTTTCCAAATCTGGTGTGTAATGCTGAAGAATGGCTACAGCATTACATATGCTTGAAGTGTATATCCCAATAGCAAAAAAAAAATTAATTTACTAAAGGAAGACAGTATTATCCATCTAAAGTTACATTAGGTTATGTGTGCTTATACATTTGCATTTATATATTTTCCTTGGTTGTTTATATGAATATATTTGTTTACATTTCATTTTTCTGGGGATGTGGTAGGGGGAAAAAGTGATAATGGTATTACTGGAAAAAATGTCAGAAAAAAAGCTTGTAGAGTTTGTACCTAAATTGGGCCGATAATTTTATTGTGTGTTTTGTAGTGAGATTTTGTTCTTAGAATGATAAAATTAAACAACTCATCAATTCCCTTGGACATCCAGCAATATAGAGAATTTGTAGACATGTAATTTTGAATTCGGGAAGTATTTGAACATAGGATATGCATGATCAGGCTGGAGAAACTGTAGAATTAGAAATTAATATAATTTTTAATGTATTTGGTAGCCAATGAAAAAGAAAATCACACTAACTGAAGTGCAATTGAAAAAAAAAAGTGCTTGAGCAGTGTCATTAGTTAAAGCAAAATAGTTTAAATTCTCATATGGATGCAAAAACTGGAATTGCATTCTAATAACTAAAATATTTTAGATGCTTCTTTTTTTGAAAATAGTTTATTTTATATTTAATAGGTTGAAATTTTTGGATTTGGTTTTGAAAATAGTATTCTAAAATGAATAGCTAGAAACATAGAGGTAGATAAATACATTAGTTCATGGTGAATGCACAAAAAGTCTCCAGTAAAAAAATTTTGTATGGCAAGACATGCATAGAATCAGGATTTCCTCCTCCTTTATAAAACCTTGAACAGACACCTTTAAAAGTTGGGTGATATTGTGGTGAAAATTATACTGTACAGATTTCTGGATTTTGCTGTCACATTTTAAAGACAAGATTCAACAGTGGCATTTCATCTACCTCCAGAAATTTCTGTTAATAATAATCTATACATAATGATGGATCAGGATGGAATGTACTTTTGTTCCTTCATATATGTATTACCTGACATTTGAGTGAGAATTTTCTGTCATAAGATTCTTAAGACCACTTGCATTTTAACTATTGATTTGTTGAAATTCTGATAATGTAGTCTTCAATATTAATGAATCATTCTGACAGAAATAGAATTGAAATTGAAGTCTGTCAAGTGTTCATTTGTCACATTTAATTGGAATCTAGGTAATCTGCAGTATTTGGCTAAGTTAGGATTTAATCATGATTTATACTGGATTTTTATGAAGATCTTTCATGGAAACTGCATTTTGGAAATTATCTTGGTTATTAATTTTTACTTCAAATATTTACCATTTAATTTTGGTTGGTGTGAAACAATGCAGTTATAATTAATTTCTTTGGATTTCCTTTCATTTTAGAATATGAAATAATAATCTTCAGCACAGTACATGAAAACTTCCAATATGTTTCCTTCTTTTTTTTTTTTTTTTTTTTTCAAGCCTAGATGACTAAGGAAAACAAGTAATCTTTACAGTTAAGGCAAATTTAAAAGATTCAGTTTACAGGCACAGTATATAGGAAACTCAACTCTTTCTGTTTGCTCTTAAGAGTTTCTTTACGTTTTCTCAGTTGAGAATAAAACACTGGAAAAGTGGAAAAAATGGATAAGGGGGTTGATTTTCTTAGAATATGGTGAACATTGCCCACCAGCCTACATGACTGTCAGATGTAGATTGAAGTTTTATTCTGCTGATTAGCTGTGGTGTCAGATGTGGGAGAAAAAAAAAAAAAGAAAAAAAATGTTAGCAGATTGACTGTGAAAATTCAGTAGGCAAAGATCTTTTTAATTAGTAAAAGCTGCACAACCAAAAGTAACTTCTGAGTTAATTTATCCCCTGCCCTTGGAGCTTTCCTTGCAAAGAAATTCTGCTGATATGTGCAGCCTTCTCTGATTTTACTGTTAAAATGGCACTGTCTCAATGTAAATTGCACAATAATTTTCTGAAGAACATTTCCATTACATTCATATTTGTATATCAAGGGCAAATACATTACCATGGTAAATTAGTTTCCTGGTCTTTTGTCATAGCTTTCTAGTTCTGACCATGCCTAATACAACTCAGAAGAAAATTTTGAAAAAACTCTGTGACAGAAACTTCCAGAATTACTTCTCTTCCTGACCCCAACAGTTAATAGTCAGCATGTGATTTTCTAAATAATAATAATAATAGTACTAAAAACTCACTAATTTACCACAAGACAAATTACTGGTCGGAAGAATGTCTTTCAACAGTGAAATCCTCTAAAGGCTAAAAAAATTGTTTTGTGTTTGCTTTTTTTAACTCTTATTTAACTGTTTTAGTGACTATTCCTTTTTCTCCTGTTATGAGAAAGAGCATGGAAGTATTCAATTTTAATTTTTAAATACTATGGATTGTTATTTTTCCTTATAGTTTGCCTTTCCTCTGAATTATAAATCTTCCTAGAAGAAGGTTATAAATCTTCTTCTAGCAAAGGTAGGGATAGCTGGATATGTATCCTCAAAACCTGAAGAATGGACAAGACAGCCTTTTCATACTAATTCCTATGTTATTACAGATATGATCTTTAAACAGAGCTTTCATTGTTCTGTTTCATTTCCCTTCACCTGGTTCTATTAGGTCTCTCTCATGTTTCTTGCAGCTCTCAGAAATGTTTCATTATATTCCTTCTCCCTACCCCTTGATTTCTGCACACATACAGTTTATTTATGCATGTAGTGGCCTAATCAGTTTCATTTTTTGTTTCATTTAGCTAGAGGACCTACAGTGGTGAAACTGCAGCAGTGCAGGTTATGGCTTGTATGATCTTCCCTCGAGATTTGGTTCCATGCAATCCTAATTAAACTGTATGCCACACCTGAGATCTCTGCCTTAAAGCTAGCTCAGGTACTTCTACACGAACATGTCTTTGATCTGCAGCACAGAATGTTAGGTTAGCCCATGTTTCAATATCAAATAGGGTTGGAGAAGAGCAGTCATCTCTGTGAAAGAAGGAAAATAAAGGAATGGTTTACAGATTCCATTTTTGCAGGGGGAAATGGAGTAAAGAAAGATTAAGTGACATGACTGAAGTCACAGATAAAGTAAGAAGCAGAGCTTAAAAAGGAGCTTAGAATTTTTGTGATTCAGTTACTTTACTCCCACAAAGAAATCAGTAGATAAATTACTCTCTGACTGACACATGAAATAAAAGCCAGGGAAGAGAAGTGCATTACCTTGGTTCACGTAGTCTGATAATATGCTCTGTTTTCAATTACAATTTCAGATTTAGACTGCAAGAGTCAAAGTTCCACCATCAGTATAAAGAAGGGGTTCATAATATATGAAAGGATGGCTTGAAAATGTGAAGTGAATTTTGACAATTAATAAATGTAATTAGTTTTATCTATAAGAGCATTCGCTCACATTTGCTTGTGAAATAGTCTTAATCTCTTCTCAGACCAAAGTGTGAAGAAAAGAATACATTAATTTAGAAAACCTGTGTTTACAGAATCTATTTTCCTTTATTTTTAGTAGTGCAAATAACACAGCTTAATGTTCTTGAAGAATTAACTCTCCTTATTGTATAATGGCAAAATAATACTCATTGACTTATTCCAGAGAATGACTGCATTTTTGCAGTTCCTATTATTTCAAATGTTCTTTCCCCTTGAATTCAGATCCTAAAATTGCATGAGAATAATTTTGTTTTAAAACTGGGTCCTGAAAATGTTGATTTAAGTAGTCCATCTCAGAGGCTGAGTCAGTAAAGGTTTTCAATGTAATGGTTACGCAGTAACAATGCTTTTTTTG